AATGTAGATGTTTGTAGTTTTTAGGATTTATTCTGGAATGGGCTGAGACTGATCGACTTCACAGAAGCCCGAACTATGACTGTCTATAGTAAGAGATACCGATTTTAGGTCACCAAGCTGTGTATATATGGCTGTTTCCGCATAACTGAGCTCTCAACTCAATAGACGGAAGACATTTTCCCAGCGCTGTAAAGGGTGATACCATTTCGGGGTTTCCTACTATAAAAAAAACCCCGAAAATTCAAATGTAGAGGGAAATTTTTATTATCCTTCGAAAGAACATTCTTTGGCATATATTTTTTAAGATTATCTCTTTTAAATGTAGGCCTCAGCTACGTCTCAGATGATCCAATTCTTTCTGTAACTGGCAAATGACAGGACCTGAATCAAAGCGGGATTGTCGGAGGAATAGTCCGTCAGTCCCTGGTCCGTTTCCCTACAAGAAAAAGAGTCTTCCTGTTAATCTAAACAAAAAGCCACTGAAACTTTCTTCAAAGTCGACAGAACAATTTTCGATGATTCGTTCGAGCATTTCGACTGGTAACTGGCGAATGACAAGACCTGAATCGAAGCGGGATTATCCGAGGAATAGTCCGTCATTTTGTATAGGTCAGTCCCTGGTCCGTTTCCCGAAAAGAAACAGAGTCTTCCTGTTAATCTAAGCAAAAGGCCACTGAAACTTTCTTCAATGTCGACAGCACAATCTCATTTGTTACAAAAAATGTGATAAATAAAGATATATATATACGAAAAGCTCAAAGAAAAACCTAAAAATTTGGTTTGGATAAGTGAGTTCGTTTTTGAGTTATAAAACCACAACGAAGAGTGCCATTCATTTTTATATATATACATAGATTTACAAATTGTACAAAATATTACTTTGTTTTAAAACTTAAAAAATTCAAATATTCCAGAAAAAATGTCTTAACACAAGTGAAACAGATAAGCACAAAGACTCTATTAATGAAAATATGTAAAAGAGTCAATATACAATAAAAAGATGAGTAGAGAGCAAGTTGCTCGCTTAAGTCTTTTCTTTGTCAATCAGCTTTTGCAATGCATACAATAGTGATAAACATACTTACATATGGTTTACCTACGTCAAACGCCCGTTTATACACACCTGCCTACAAACGTGCATACGAATGTAAATACGTACATACATACAAATGAACAAATGCATAAAAGTTGTTGGAAGATGCAAGCCTCTAAGCAAATCCAACATTTAGGTATCTATGCGCATTTACCTTTTTTCACAACTTTGTATGGAACAATTTTACATATGTCTATTTATTGTTATTTGTTTGTTTCTTTGTTATTTTGTTATTTGTGCATCAGTTTGTGTTATATGTAACCAAGCGGAAAATTAATTAAGTTGCAGATGTGCAACAAGTTGTTGTGAACCTTAAAAGTAGTATTTAGATATAAAAATAATAATAGCATTAGTGTTGAAACTTTACACCATAAATACAACAAAACGAATAAAAGTGATGTAGAAAAACTGGTAGTTCGATCATTTTTTTTTTGTTTTGTATTTTGTTTTTTCAAACTTTTTTTCACTTTAATGTTGATTTTGTATGCAAACGCCCACCAGACGACGCTATCGGTCTGCGGAAGTTTGCAGTACATCATATGCAGGTATGTAGTTGGTAAGCAGTCAACATCAGCTGTGGTGTAAGGTATATGAATAATGTACATTAATTCATTGTAGTTGCAAAAACCCGATGAAATCATATGATTAATTGTGATGAATTTAGTTATAAGCTTCATGGAATAGTAATTGAAATTTATTTATTTTTAAAACTACGAATTTTCGTTAGTTTTGTTTTCATGTCGCCCACAATAGTATGCAGTGGAAACAAGTAAGGTAGAATAACACATTTACCAACAATTCTGGCAAACAAAAACAAATAATAAGATAACAGAAGATACATAAATAACGAGCTATGAAGTGTGCATAATGGGTCGCTGGCCCGGTTAAGGTCCTTCATGATGAAATATTCATTACTTAGTGCTGGAAGAGATTTAACCTTGAATAAAGTCAAATAAAATAATTAAAATACAATATTCGAAAAAGGTTATTAAAAAGCAAATATTAATTGATTAATTAGAAAAATTTAGATAAAGAAAAAGAAAATAAAACTGATTAAATTAATTTAATACGTTAATGAATTAAAAACAAACTAAGTCAAAATAAATTAAAATGAACTAATAAGCCAAATGAATGTAAATAAAAAAAGGAAGAAAAATAATAAAATGAATGAAAATAAATTAATTTAAAATAAAATAAATAAACAGATAATAAAATCCAATAAACGGAATTAAGTAAAAATTAAAAATATCATACAATTAATTCTTAATTAAATTATTAATTAAGAGGATTTAAAAGAAAACTAAGTAAAATAAGACAGAATGAAACAGAAAATATATAAAATAAAAAAATTTAGCAAAATATTTTGAAATTACTTTATTTCATCAATTTCCTGTCCAAGGCCCTGATACACAAAGTAACTAGTATCTCGTCTGAGCAAACTCCCTACATCCATCGGAAAGAAACCTAGAAAAATCACCAGAAACTTTCTTGGAGAGACTACCAGTGCATGACGACGTGTACTGGTGGTGCGTAATTAAAACAGCCGCAAATAACATATAAAAATAGAAGCTGGTGGCACCTCGTTATTCTGTTGCTCCGCTTTTGTCGGTAGGTCGGAGATTCCGTATATGTTTAGAGTCTTTTAACTCGAACCCTCCTCTCCTGTCAGTCTTGGTCGGAGACTGCTTATTGGTTATTCCGAAGTAGGTCGTCCACTCTGCGCTAGCATTGAACACGGTTGTAATAATAATAGTAATAATAATAATAATAATAATAATAATAATAATAATAATAATAATAATAATAATAATAATAATAATAATAATAATAATAATAAAAAATAATAAATATGTAAAATTAATTTAAATAAAAATAAAAATAAGTATTTTTTATATTTTTTTTTTTATAATAACATTTGATGTTTTGAGATGAAAACAATTTTTTTTTTTATTAAAAACAAGCAACATATATATCTAATAGTAATAAAAGTAATATAATAAATTTAATAAAAAATAAAATTAAATTATACAAAAAAATGTAAAATAATGCAATAAAATATTATAGATATATAAAAAAATTTATTCAATAAACTCAAAAAAATATGATAAAAACAAATTTAATAAAATTAGACTAAGTTTGTTTTTTTCAAGCCACATTTTGTTCATAATAAACGCTTATTAATTGCAATAAATTTACGTATTAAATACAAAAGATTTATATTATTAACTGCTTTTGGCAAATGATGTCAAGTAGCTGTTAGAAGCGATTAATAACCTAAAATTTTAACAATATATGTACATAAATTACGATAATTATAAATTTTGTAAGCAATGTAAATTCATAAAAATTGTATAAAAAATAAATACTACAAAAAAGTTTATTTCAAACACAAACTAATGAGTAGCAATTAAATTTAAGTGCTCAAAATTATTAACGGCATAAAGCTTACGAAATCCGGTCTTACGCAAAAATAAGTGCTTAAATTAAAAAAATAATAATAATTACAAACAAATAAATATTTAAAAAATTAATAATAATTAAATTATAAAAAAAAATAAAAATACGGCTAATAAACTTTTGTAATAAATAAGTAGAAAACATATGAATGTATTTAAGACGCCTGCCATTCACGTAAGCTAATTATAAACGTAATAATAACAATAACAGAAAAGTGAAATGAAGTAATTAATATATATAATTTAAAACAACAATAAAAGAATATTATAAACATATAATCACTTTTCATTAAAAGGATTAAAAAAAATAGAAAGTAGTAATAATAAAATAACAAAAAAGTTAAAGAAATTTCTTATTAAAAATAAAAATAAATAAATAATTCAAAAAATTAAATTTTTTAAACAAAATAAAAATAAAAAAACAAAATGAAGCCACTTTTTATAAAAAAATAAATTATTTTAATAAAATAAAATATAATAAAAGTAAATTCAAAATAAAATGATCAAAATAAAATATCAAATTTAAAAATAGTAAAACAAAATTAAAGAAAATTATTTTAAATTAAATTAAAGAAAAATAAAATAAAGTTAAATATTATAGAAAATTAAATAAACAAAATATAAAAAAAAAACAAATAAAATAAAAAAAAACAATTAAAAAATAACAGGCATAAAATAAAAATTAAATTAAAATAAATAATAAAATTAATAACAAAGATTAACTTTAACTGCAAACAGCTTGAACATCGGCAAACGCAAGCAAATAATGTGTATGCAACAATTCTTCTATTAAATATTTGCATTTCAGTTTCGAGTTTTTCAAATTGCAGTAAAAAAACTAACAACAACCAACCGGCAATGTCAACGGAACCAAAAAAAAAACCAAAATCATTGCAATGCATATATGCAATCGCTGCCAAGTCAGTCAACAGAAAATAACTGCATTAAAAAACAACTAAAAAATTAAAAATAAAACCCAAAAACATTCAAACAAATATCTAAAAATCATTTGCGACAACTCAACACACGATCGATTGAGATGAAATAATAGCGCTGGTGATGATGAAGATGATAATCGCAAGTCGATACAGCAAACTCAGCGAAAAAACTCGCAATAAGTACCTTACAAACTGCCGCCGACACTGCCACACACACACACACACACACTGAAACACCCGACGCCGAAGAAGCACCTCGGCAGCAACACACGAATACAACACATTGGCCAAAAATCAAAGAAATACATGCACATCGTACTCAGAATTAATTACATATGTGTGAGATCTGATGTTCGGAGCCACGACAACACGATATTGGCGCTGCTTTTGGTGCTCTGCCGACGCCACCGCTACCGCCATAGCTTACTGGCTAACTGGCTAACTGACTGACTGGTTTGCTGCTTTGCTGTGGCTGTGCGACACTCTAAATGGCTATAAAACACTTTGCAGCTCGCAATTGACTTTTGTTTTCGTTTGCTAGTTACAGTGTCTGGTTGTGCCAGATTCGGTGGTCAAGTCAAGCGCACATACGTACACAACAAAAGAAAAACGCACGCATACATAGATATATAAAAATTTAATTCTAATTGCCGTGTGCTAAGTGAATATAAAGGTAAGCGCGTTTGCGAGCGTAAAAAGGATAATACGCTTAAGTGCAACAAAATATAAAATAATTTATAAGAATGACAAAAAACTGAAGAGAAAAGTGTTGAACAATAAAATGGATTACATTCGCTGCAAAATTTTTTAGTGGATTTAATAAAAAATGTGGATAAATAATATATGAAGAAAAAATGCTTTTAATGGCAAGTGTTTGCAGAAAGAGTGCTATAACGAACTAAGAGGAACTTAACAGAAAAATCGTGCATTCAAAGAGCTCAGAAAAAAGGATTTTCGAAAAAGACTGTAACTTTATTGAGTGAAAATTTATAAAGGACCTGCCATTGACAATGAAAAGTACAAAATAAATATTTAAATCTAAATATTATGATGGATCAATTTTTATCATGAAATTTTATTTTATTTAAAGTGTTTAACATTTCAAATTTGGTGATGATAAATCTAATATGACAACGAATTTGCTTAGATATTTCGCTACACGTTCTGCTTGTGTAAAATTTTTAAAAAGTTTTAATATTAGCAAGACATTATTCGGGTGTGATCGCTGTCTCAAAAAGAAGGTCGTTTTTCGTAGTTTTCCCATATTGCAAGGATGTAATGGAAGAAAATGAGTATTTTTGCTTTGCCTGAAAAATTGTTTGAAAAAATTTTCTTAGAAAAATTAAATGATAATGCATAAAATACAGTTCCTTAATTTAGAACATTATTTTTTTATATATACAAATAAATAAAAAATAAGTAATAAATGTTTATTTAAAAATTTAAAATTCTTTTTTAATGAAAAATATCTCGCTATTTGGTAGTGTGTTTCAAATTATTAAATATTATCAGCGTCGTTGTATATTTATCGATCTTCAAAACAATCAAGTTTGTCGCTTAAGTCTTTTGTAGCTTAATAGAGAAATTAAAAAGCCATAAAGCGATTTTTTTCAATTCATAACAAAAAAGATTTTAAATAAAATAATAAAATTATGCAAAATTGAATGAAATAAAACAAAATAATAATAAAACAAAATAAAATTAAATAAATTAATTAATTAAATAAATAAAATAGAATTACTTATATTTAACTAAACTATTTTATAAATAAAATGAAATTAAAATTAAAAAAGTAAAAATAAAATAGCATCAAATAAAATAATAACATAAAACCAAATAAAATGCAGTAAACAAATATGAAATAAAATAATATTGATTTTTGTTAGCGAAATAAAATAAGTAAATTAATCAACTAAATCAAATAAATTAACTTTGTAATATAAACTAAAACTAAATTAAATAAATTAAAATTAAATAAATGAAAATAAAATAGCATCAAATTAAAATAAAATAATTAAAGTAAAATAAAATGAAATAAAATAAATAAACAAAACTTAATTAAATTAACTTAATTAAATTAAATAAATGAAAAAATTGAGTAAAGCAAAATAAAGTAAAATTATATTAAACTAAAAGATTTAAAAGCAAATAACATGAAATATTAAAATTAAAAAAAAAAACTAAAATTAGAGAGTGTACAAAATAAATTAGATCAAACAAAATAAAATTAAATAAAATATAATAAAAATAAAACAGCATCAAATAAAAAAAACAAAATAAAGTCAAAAAATAAAAACTTATTTATTGTAAAAAAAATTAATAATAAAATAAAGTTGAATAAAATAAAAAATGAAATAAAATTAATAGAATAATAAATAAATACAATAAAAATTAAACAAAATGAAATAACTTAAAATAAAATGAAATAAAAAACAATAAATTTAAATAAAATTAAGTAAAAGAAAAGGCATTACAGAAAAGGAATGAAATAAAATAAAGGAAAGAAAAAAAAACACAAAATAAAACCAAGTTTAATTGATAAATATAAAACAAACTAACATAAACCACAAAAGGGAATTAAATGTATATTTTTTAAACTAAAACAAAATAAAATATTAAATGAAATAAATAATCAAAAGTTAAATAAATTGAAATAAAATATAATAAAATGAAACGAAATATAAAATAAAAGAAAAAACTAAAAAGAAATTAAAATTAAACTAATTAAAATTAATCAATACCGTATGAAATAGAAAGGAATGAAAATTAGCTTAATAAAGCAAAAAAAAAAAAAATTAACTAAAATTATATAATATAAAATGAGAACAAAGAACAATGCATAAAATTAAAATAAAAAATCATAAAAAAAATATTTAAAATGTATTAATTCAAGCGCCTGAAGTCTTAACAAAAAAATCCAAGATTATTATACAAATCTTGCAATTAATAGCTTTTGAATATATAATTTTTTTAATAAAATTCTTTAGTCTCTATACAAATTTTTTTATAACAGAAAAAATACGACTTTTTTTTTGAATTCCAATCACTGAGCTCACACATATGCACAATATATCTACATATCTATCCAACTATAAGCATTTATAATAAATATGAATATGATGTCAATCGTAGTAGCATTAATGAATGCAAATAATAGTTATTAATGCTGAAAGAGCCACTGCATGCCCCACGTTGCAAAATTGAAGAAAGATTTGCATTTACATACAGACAGGCATTAAAAACTGCTTATAATTAATATTTATGATTAATATTTTAAACTTAATGCCATTATAAATATATGTATACATTTGTACTATGTATGTTTGCCTTATTTGATGTTAGATGCCATCAAACGGAATGATTGAGTTGTATTGCCAAATATGGGAAAATACAAATAAAAAAACAAATGTAATATTAATTAATAGCTTTTAGTATGACATCGTTTGTTATATAAAACAACTAACCTAATACTTAGCTGCTACTGCATACACACCTACACCAACATGTATTTTTTTTTGTTTTGATGCATATGTAATCAAATTAGCAGTCATGTCAATGCGTGTACGATTTTATGACAAATAATTTCAGCAATATTGTCAATAATCAACACATGTCACATGTCAAAGGCTGTTGATTACTGAAGTGCTTTGAATTGGAATTTTGACAACTTTTTATGATGAATACACAAAAAAAGGCCCTTCATCCACTTTCTGTTATTTTATGCTAATTAAATAAGTTTTGGCAAAATATTTGCATATGAATATCATATAAGTTTGAGACTTGGATTTTGATTTGTCGAGTTTCGCAGCTGATATTCAACTGATCAAGATATTATTAATATTTGTGGTATTCTGGCATGTTGCTTGGCAATCAAATTTAAAGGTCAAAAATTTATGAATTTAGGCTTGTAATAAAATGCAAATAACAATCAAATGGTTTGGCTTAATATTTTTCGAAACTTTAAATGAACAAAATTTGGCTTCAGTTCAATGTAAATTTTATAAAATTTAATGATTTATAAAATTGAGAAATATTTTTTATATTTATATTTTTATAAATATATTTTTTTAATATAAATTTGTTTTTTAATTTTTTTTAATAATTTCGGCGAAAATTTCTAGAATTGTAATAACTTTTTTTAAATAATATTTCAATACGCAGATTTTTTAAAAATAATTTTGTTTGTTATAATGGATTCAAATGCAGTTTTAAATTTCTTAACACTTTTATTTTTTTAATCTTATTTTGCTTTCTTTAATTTGTTTCCTTTATTTTTTTTATTTCTTTTAATTTTTTTATTAATTTTTTTTATCTTTAAATTTTTTTTTTGGTTAATAATGTTTTTTAAAAAATGTCTTACCTAATTTTGAAATTTCTAATAATAATATACATATAAATACTATTAACTCATATACCTTAAAAGCTCATTAAAAAGATTAAATACATATATACAACCCAAATATGTGCGTATTCAGGCGGCTAACATTTTCAAAATCAAAAGAAAAAATTCCCAAATCAATTACATCAGCAGCTTAGTGTTAGTTCATAAAAAATTTAAAATAAAATACAAAAGAGTAAACAATAATGAGCTTTGAATGTGCTCTGAATTATTTATTGTCACTTTTGATTGTATTGAATACACATAAAACGCCAAAAATAAAGTTTTAAAAATTAAGCACGCATCATGTGAAAAAAGAAAAAATTACATACATACATACACATGTAAAAAATTCATTAATGAAATAAAATATTTTCCAACAATAGTCACTCGGAATAACTGAGCAGCTATACATAAATATGTATATAAAAGTATACATACATATGTATATATATGCCGCTGAGTATGTGTGTGTGTATACTTTATTGATGCGCGTCATGATTTTTACTATTTAATATTTATTGGTATTTTTTTTTTTGCTTACAATTTTTTATATGCAAGTCTCGGTACTCAACCGGTTGTATGAACATCCTTGACATAAAAACACAACACATTGTACACACGTACATACATCATACATACTCGCCAGCGCTGCAAAAGCATCTTCAATACTTAGTAATAGCTTCAGTTTATTCATTTATTCATATGCAATAAATACCGCATGCGTAGCGATTTAACACACACGCACATCATTTATTTATATTACATATGTATATAAATACATATGTATGTATGCATAATATGTTATTAATAACAAAAACAACATCAGGTGTTAATCGCACGCGGCGTGTAATATTCAAATTGTTTTCTAGTTGTTGTTGTTGTTTGCACATTAAGTTAGTACTGTTGCAGCCGTGGTTGTTGCTGTTGTTGTTGGTGGTGTCACTATCGGCAAAGCCGAAAAGAAATATTAATGTCATATATGTATAATGAACAACGATCATTAAAATCATTAGTGCAACAACAGCGTTAACAAAAATAGATGATATAAATATACTTGTAACTTTTTTGTAATGCAAACATTTTCATTTATACATTTATGTATATTACACAAATAATCTCTTAACATGCGTGCTTAAAATTTATGCATAAAATTTTTTATCACAAATTGGCTGACCAAGTTAAACGTTGAAAAATTAATTTTTGCTGCTTTTGTTGGAAATTGTGGTCATTGCCATCACAGAACAAAAAAGAAAATCAGATAAAAATTCATGCGTGTAAAATTCCAGCAAATTTTCAAATCTTTCTTCGTATCTCCATTTAGTTTGTTCAATCTGCTTTAACTTTCTGTTATTTTTTTTTTTGCTCTCAACTTTCAAAGCTAATCTTCATCTTTTTATGCCAATGCGTTGGTAGCAGTGATCGCGTATTTAGAAGTGGAGCGATAGAGTGCAGAAGATTAATTTCAGACACGCGCCAGTTAATCAGCAAAAAACATGAACATTTGAATTAAAGTTTGGAAGCAAAATGAAAACTGGACCGCTTGCGTGGTGTCTTTAAACTTCAGAGTCGTTTTAGTTGAAAATTGCCCAATTTAGACTGTTTTTCTATTAAAGGATTGTCAGCAATACTTGAAAAAAAAAAAAAAATAATTTGTGCTGTGAATAAAAATATAGTGGAACAGCTGTTTAGGCACAGGGTGGTACTTTTTTTTATTAATTTAATGCAAAAGATATTAAACGTATTTTGAGTACAAAGTAAATATTGGAAATAATTGGAAAAAAATATAATACAAAAATTTTTTACATATTCCGCTATACTTATTTTTTTTCCCTCGTTACATGTTTTTTGCATTAGATTCATAAATTAGAACATATTCTTCTTGTTTAATTCTTTAGTATGAACTATGGCTGAACCATAGTAAAATATCAAGCAAGCTACTTTCCTACATTTTCAAGATTTCATAAACGCGTTGCTTCAGTTCGATATAAGCACATAAATTGAATTATTTAAATTTGAATCATTTATTGTAATTTAATTTATTTTAGCGAAATTGGTTCAGTGAATATAAACAGCTGATACAGGGTGGTAAAAACACAAATTCCAGATAAAAGTTGATGGTTTATAAAAAAATTTAAATAAATTTTTCTTTCATTTAAAAGCATATTTTTGCATAAAACTTTGTATATAAAACGCGGTGCGCTCCTAATGAATTCTTAAGAAAACAAAAAAAAAAAACACTAGGCGTTTTCATAAAATCTGGCGAATGTAATCCTTTATGTGAATAAAAAATATTTAAGGTTGTTTTTGTTATTGATATATTTGTAATATATATTCCTCTTCTCTTCATTTCAGATGAAAATCACATTAGTGATAGCTGCTGTCTGCATAGCAGTGGCGTACGCTGATCCCGCCATCAGTCAAGCCAGATCCACAACAGCCACATCAACGAAACCTGGTAGATTTTTATCACTGCCAGTGCCAGCGAAATGTGCCAGACGTAAGTAGAAAGAAGTTTTGTGCAGAAAATAAAATAATCAAATAGAATAGGAAGGAATAAAAAATATTCAACTGAAATAAAAAAAAAAAACAAATAATTATAAAGATTATTAAATAAAATGAACTAAAATGTATTAAGCGGAAATAAAAGAAATTAAAAAATAAAAACAAATTAAATAATATTAAATTAAGTAAAAAAAATAATAAATATTTTTTAAAAAACTAAATTAAGAAAATAAACCAAACAAAAACTCAATAAAATAAAATTAATTATTTTAAACCTAATCAAAATTAAATTAAATAAAATGAAATAAAATAGACTAAAGTAAATACAAATTAAACTAAAAATAAGAAATAAAAAATTGAAAAATAGAAAATTTTCAAAAAATATAATAAAATAAATTAAAATAAAATAAAATAAGATAAATAAAGGAAATTAAAGCAAAATCAAATGAAGTAAAATAAAATAATATAATATAAATTAAGAGAAATTAAATAAAACAAGAAAAAAATTAAATTAAAATAAACAAGTTAAAATAAAATTGGAAGAAGCACAATAGTTTAAATGAAAAAAAATTAAAATCGAAGAAAAAGAATTGAAACTAATTAAATAAGTTAAAATAAAATTTTGTGAAATAAATAAAATAGAATTAAATTAAATACATTAAATATAAAAATTTAAATAATAAAAATAAAATAAATTAAAATAAAATTAAACGATGTAAAATAAAGTTAAGTAAAATAAAATTAAATAAAGCAAAATAATTCAAATAAAAAAAATTAAAATCGAAGAAAAAAAATTGAAACTAACTAAATAAGTTAAAATAAAAATCAGTGAAATAAAAAATAAATAAAATACATTAAATGAAAACAATAAACTAAGTTATAAAAATAATATATATTGAAATAAAATAAAACCAAATTAAATAACATAAAAATAAATAAAATAAAATATGTTATTATAAGTAAAATAGAATGAAATTAAATGAAATAGAACTTAATTAAAAAAATAAAATAAAATTAAGTGAAATAATATTAGTTAAATTAAAATAAATTAATGTCGTTTAACAAAAAATTGAAATAAATTAAAATAAAATTAAATTAAATATTAATTATTAAAAATTAAATATATAAAATAAAATAATATCCATTGAAATAAGATACAATTTAATGACTTAAAAATAAATTAAAAAAAATGAAACAAAAAAAATGTTGAATTAAAAAAGTCAGAATAATATAATATAAATTGAAATATAATAAAATAAAATAAATTAAAAAACATAAAGCTAAATAAAATCAATAAATATATAATACAAAATAAAATGCAATAAACTAATTTAAAATATATAATAATAATAAAAAAAGAAGAAATAAAACAAAAGAGGTTAAAATAATATAAAATAAAAAAATTAAATAAAAAATTAAAATAAAATTAAAAAATTAAAAATAAAAAATAAAGGGAGTTAACATAAAGCAAAAAAACAGAACGACAAAAGAAAAGTAAATATTATAAAATAAAAAAAAAATTTATATCAAATAAAAATATTACAACTTCCTGCGCAGAAGCATATGCCTGACCATTAACCTACACTACACACGTAATTGCGCCACTTGAGCAATCATTTTGGTTAGCGTTTAAATATCTAACTATTTGGCGCATAAGATTTTTATATTTACTTACAAATAACAATTGTTTATGCGCTTACATAAACTCAAAGGTGGTTATGTAGGTCATGTAAAAACGCTTCCTCGCCATCCATGCACACACGCCCCAGTCAAAGTGACACATGCAACTGTGTGCGACTATAAAAATTGCATAGTAAAAGTGGCAATCCATTAGAGGGAATACGTGCGTGCGTTTTAAAGTCAATGTGAGTTGTGAAAAATGGGGGTGAAAACATGAAAAAATAAAAATAAGTAAACCATTATTAAAAAAAAAACGAAAATAAAAAAGTAGGCGTAAAATAAATTTAACATGCTACGCAACCCCATTAACAAGCGCGACACACTTGCAACTTCACGAAAAGGTGTTAAATTTGATGCTGCAGGCGGAACAACAAGTGATGCTCATGTATACTACATGATTTTGCTGTTTGTTGCTACACATTTTTACGGATTAGATCCGAGTGACTGGCTGACTGACTGCCTGACTACCTCTTTGACTACTGTTTATCGGCATTTGAGCATAATTTTACATTGAACGTTTTGTTTTATATTATTATTTCGTTGCAAAAGAAACTGAAAAGAAATGTGTTGAAACGTGTAACAATGTAAGCGAAAAAAACATAAAAATAAAACTGGCAATTAAAATATGTATGCTCCGCATACGTGACACCCTTTATACGTTACAAGCCAATCAACTTTGTACGATTTTGGGACGAGTGAGGAATTTTTAATCAGTGGAAATTGTTGATTGATTTTCAGCTTTTGGCAAAATTTACAATTTGTCTTCACGTTTCTCCTTATTCGGCATTGAGGTTCCTACATTTGAGGGACATGACTAAAGCGTCAGCACTACTTTTTATGTACAAAAACAAAATTTAATTTTCTACCTTGCCACCGTTTAAGGTTTCACTCAGATATACATGCATGTATGTATGTGCATGTCATGTGAGTAAGTGCCAGTTTCGTGAAGACATATTTTGAATATTTACCATTGCAATAATTTCCAATTGCGGTATGAAGTTGAGCACTTGAAATGTTTAAATTAATTTTTTGGCTAATCCACTTGACCATTGAAGGTCACTGTTTACCTTGTTGCCTTGGATGGTGGAATAAGAAATATTAAGAAAAATATTTAAGAAGAAAGTGTAGTGCCTATGTTCTTGAAGTACAGTGAGTATATGAATAATAAATAATAAAAAATGAAATTAAATTAACCGAGTAAAGTAAAATAAAATAGAATAAAATAAATTAAAAAAAAAATAAAATAAAACGAATACAAATAGTTTAAAAAAGCAATGAAATAATATTAAATATAATAAAATACATTCAAAAAAAAAATAAAATAAAATGAAATGACCTTAAGTAAAGCAAAATGAAATAAAATAACTAATATTAAATAGAATAAAATGAAATATCTAAATATATTAAATTGAAATTAAACAAAATAAAATAAAAGAATATAAATGAATATACAAAAAAATTAAGAATAAAAATAAATTAAAATTAAATAAAAAAGGAGAAAAAGAAAAGAAATTAAACTAAATAAAATTTAACAAAAATTAAAAACAAAATTAAAACAAAAGAGAAAAAAACTAAATAAAATAAAATAGTATATAATACAAAATACATAACAAAAATTAAAAAAAAATTAAAATATGAAAAATATGTTAAATAAAATAATAAAAAATAAAATTAATTAAAGCAAAAAATAGAAAAAAATAAATTAAATACATTGAAAAAAAAAATTTAAAAAAATATATATAAATAAAAAGAAAAAATCAAAACAAAGCGAAAAAATAAAAAAGAGAAAAAGAAAAGGAGTCAAAATATAAATAAATTGAAATAATATTAAGAAAAATAAGAAAATAAAATAAATTAAAACAAAAGTAAACAAAACGAAATGAAATAGAAACAAAATAAAAGGAAATAACTTATATTAAATATAACTAGATAAACTAAGATAACAAGAACTAAAACAAAAGAGGAAAAGGATTGAAAATTAAGCAGACAAATAAAAATATAATAAAATTGTTCAGGGTTAAATAACTAATAAAAAAAATTAAATTAAGCAAACTAAAAAAAAAATAAAACAAAATAATATTAAACTTTAGTTGATTTATACAAAGAAAAATAACTTGAAATGGGAGTAGAATATTATAATATTATTAAATCAGAATACAAAATAAAATAGAGCAAAGTAATTAAACAAATATAAAAATAATTGAATAATATTATTTAAAAGAACAAAAAAAGAAATAAAAAAATTTAAAACAAAAACAAAATTTAATGAAATAAAAGGAATTGAGAAAAATGTAATAAAATAAAGAAAGTTAAAAGTAAATTAAAAATAAATTAACTAAAACAAAATAAAACAAATAGACATATAAAATAAGCCCAAAAAACAAAAAGACGAAAAAAATTACCCGCTTCCAACTAAAAAATTGCTACCAAAAATGTACACAAATGCGTCTGTTCAACTGAAGAAAAAAGTAAGCCAAACAAAACTTGCCCGAAACTCACTGTCTGGAGATATTACGCATGCGGCGGCATTACGCAATATACGTCAATGGGCAAACGCAATGAAAGCCAACATGGTAGAAACGAGAAATTTTAAAATCCTGCAGACATAAATTTACTTTTAAAAATTTCTAAACCAGTTATATTGGGATATATGTGTGTACATACAAAAATATGTAGTATAATATATACGTTATTTAAATGTAAATGTGTTTACTAACTAAGCAACTCTAAGCGCTAGAACAAGCTGTGCGAATTTTAATTTCTCTATTTTTAAAATCTATACTTTACTTTTGGAACAATCGAACACGGAATCGCACTTAAATAGATTTGCTGTTGTTAGTAAGAAAATAAAGAGGAGAAAAATGCTGGTACAACGTGAATTCTGCTAAGAAAAAAATTAAATAAAAATACAAAAAGCAATACAAATTAGTTAAATAGTCGAGATTAGGTAATTCTATAGAAAGGCGTCTCACATCCGCTTCGAAAGCAAGCATGCAAGCAAACATATTGTGGCAATCGTCAAACGGAATCCCGTTTATAGATTCAGAAGTCGCAGTCGGCAAACCAGTAAATGTGTTATTTTTTAATCAATATTTATTGAGGGGTTTGCTTTCTCATTAATGCTTTTATTTATATTTTTTAATGGTTAATACAGCCAAATAGATTTTTTTTATTAAAAAAACGAATTTTTAATTAGCTCATATGGCACGTTGCAGGTAATAAATTGCTGCGAAATTAATGGGGAATATTCCCGATTGTATATGTAATGTTTGAGAAATAAAATAAAAATTAGAAATGCATGAAATTAAATTTAATATATAAATGAATTAATGCGAAATTTTTATTTGATGCTTAAAGTCAACTTATTGAGTTTCAATTACGTAAAGTCATTTTTCCATAGATGGCCATAAACTTATAAAAAAAATTCTATATATTCATTTGCAATTTTTCAGCAGATTAAAGACTGCGAACCGGCATTGTATTAAAATTAAATAGTATGTTCCACTGATATTATGATTGTATGTAGATGTGTTTAGAAGTGATACACTAGTAATTGCAAGCAATAAAGCGAGTGAGAAGAGTTCGTTATTAAAACAATGAATTTATAAGTTGAATGCATTCAACTATCCGGATGTAAGCAAATTAGACAAACAAACAAAAGTAATTTTCAAAGTGCAAATTATGGAAAAACTTGGCATGTGAAGATTTCTCCAAACAAATGAGCTCAAATTTTATGATGGGAAAAGGCATGTGAGTAACTATTATAATGAGTTTTTTTATGGCTTTGCAACTGTGCTTTGCTTAAAAGCTACACTTCTTCATAGAATAATTCGGAAGATGATTTAGTAAAGTGGGAGCATGAGAAAAATGGGGAAATTTACTGAAAATGCCTACAAATACAACTACATCTAATTGCCACTCGAACCAGTTCGATTTCCTAATTATTTCATAATATAACTTCGGAATTTCAATGTTCTTTTTCCAAAAAAAAAAAAAAAAAAAAAAAAAAAATGTAATCATATTCCACTTCTGAATTATAATGTCATATTTCACTACACTACATAAAGACATCTTTAAATATACAAAATATTAATTCACATGGATGATTTTCCCAAACAATTCACTATAACAAACAATACGCTATTCACCTCTCCGTAGTCGCCATTTACTGTCAAACTGAAACAATAAAGATTGATTTTAATTTTCCAAAAAACAAAAGAAATACATAAAAATAAATGTTTTTTTTTGGGTCAATTGAGGAAGCACATCAACGTGGGGGAATAGCTAAAAGCCTTACAATAATAACGAAAATAAAAAATAAGCTAAACAAATGCAGTACTCACGTTTTTACAATTGTTGCAACATCAATTTATTAAGTTGTTGATTATTTCACGTTAAAATGCTTCCTCTTCAAGATGTTCCAGCGCTTCATGCTTCACAAATTGTAAAAAAAAGCTTCGCCTCTCAAGAGTTACCACGAGCTACTACTACAACTGTTGTAGCACGAACAATATCTTGCAACATTTCGAAATGATCGGTGCGCCGTTATTGTTACTATTATGCCTTTGATTGTATGTACTATTTTGGGAGTATTTCGTCTTTTTATTACAACACTACGCCAGAAGATTTATTACTAACGTGCAAATGAAAATTGAAAATGAGAAAAATTAATTGAAAATTTTTTATATTGGTAATTTATAAACTCTGCCGATAAGATTTTTGAAAGATGATGTAGCCAAGTATTTGGCAATGGAACTTGATGCTTCAAGCTTCACGTAGCCAATTTAATTAGAATTTAGTAATTGTGGATAGACAAAGACAGTATAAGCGGTTGTATATAAGCAAATGTACTCAAAAAACGAGAAAATTTAGTTTACTTGGTACTTAGTTTCCGTTTTTCTTATTAACAAATATTCTCTAGCAACACTGCGAGTTGCTTGCCTAATTCTTTTGTTTGCTGCCTTCTTCGTATCTCAGTTATTTTTTCTTTTCGCTAAAAAACTATTTGCCTTCTTGAAATGATTAGCAACAATTGCCTTGACCTACATCAACTGAGATCAGTTTAAAGTAAAATACTAATGATTAGTGTTGAATACAGCAATAAGAACAGATAATAAAAGTAGCAAAATGAGAATCATAAACAGAAAAAAATGATGCTACAAAACAACCGTTGTTAATGTGGTGGTTATAAGATAATTTAACCTATCAGCTGCAACAACGTAAATTAACGAACTGCAAGTCATATGCAGGGTGTGATTAACGTTGAAGGTGAAGATTCATGCAAATGCACATTTCAGCAGATTCATTGGTATCTTCTTTTTTTTTTAAATTTTTTTGCGCTATTAAACTGCGAACAACACTGACATTAATTGAGGAAGCTGTATGCAAATTACAGCCATACTGTTTTAATTACTACCTTTGCATAGACCGCAAACGTACAAGTTATGAGGTAAACTACTTTTGGTAATAAATATTTCCGCTTAATGCAAGATCAAATTTTCGATGTATTAACAACTCTCTCTTTCTTTTTTGCTACAGTGTCTCAATGTTTTTCTTTTTTTTAACAACCAAAATCACAGCAGATTTCATTTACTGCAATGAAATCAGAGTTTATTAATGTTGGCATTGGGAACATTAAGTATTTATCAATAGCGCAGCGAAAACAAGGGAAACAGCTGCATAAAAGTGCAAAGATTTTAAGTTTTAGTTTCGGCTGTTTTCCTTTCATCGGCAAAATCTTTTCTGCAATTTCCGCAGCGCATGCGGTGTTAAAGAAAATAAAATTCCACTTAAGGTAATTGGTTGTAAAGTGTTTAATTGCGTTGAAAATAACAGCTTTGCTGATGAGTAAAGTGAGTGAAAAGCTAACTATTTTGAATGATATAGATTGAATAATTTGAGTCTTATTTGGAATTAATATAAATTTACCTTAATTATGGTTCCACTCCTGGGTTTCTGGGTTATTATTCTACTTTCGATATAGTGATAAAAATGCACATATTCAGTGTGTTAGTGAAAAATATTTTTCACAAACGTAGCATATAGAAACCTTTCGGCTCAATTTATAAGCTTGAAATTAGAAACGCTCAATGTAAAAATACTCTTCTGCTCCCATCACATGACAGTAAGAATTAATATTCCACATCTGAATATGAACCTTTAAGGCTCTTAGTTTGTGCACTAGTAATGCACATCGCAAACGTTAATTTTTTCAAACTAACCGTTTTATAATTAGCATTAATTATTCCACTTCTGAGTTTGTGTTTTAAAAGTAATGAAAAAATTTATATTTACATATCTGCTTATTTTTAAATAATTTTTAAGAGTCTTCATTAGGCCACAAACCAAAAACTTTCTATTCATATTTGTACATATATATCCTACAATACATATTTTCTGAAAACCAAAACACCGCCAATTCGATTCAGTTAAATCTTCAATTTCATCGATGATTGCAACATCAAATATCAGCCTAAAAGGTGATGCAAAAACAATACCCTTGTGTAAGAGTTTAAAATAAAAGTAAAAAGAATAAAAAATTAATATGTGAAAAATTCCATGACAGTTGCACTGCTGTTTGAACAAGTTTTCTTCACAACATTATTACTACTTCAGCAATCGGCTGCTGCTATTCGTCTTTACACATCCAATATATACATGTAAGCATTTTGTATTTGTACGTTTTTCGACACCACTGTTTTTTTTATTTTTTTTTTTTGGATATTTCAACTGTTGAAGTTAATGCCGTCTCAATGTTGCTGTTAAGTAAAGTCGTCAAAGTAACGATCCAGTCATTTACTTAACGCCAACACACCCATTTGCAATGCATATTAGCACAGCATTGAATAATTTCGAACGAAACTTTTCTGTTTCTCTTTTTAAAACTGCTTGTATAGGCAGCAAAAGCGGCAAGTGTAGCAAAGAAGCGACTTCAAATGCAGGTTATTAACTCTAGTTAGTTGCATTTTTTTTTTTGCATATCGCTGTTGTTTTGTTTCCAATACTCTTTTCTGTGACAAGAATTGCATAATAGTGACCCAATAGTCTAACGTTGCTCGTGACTCAGCAGCAGTTTCAAGTGTTTGCATTGTTTGAATGAAGTGGCAAGGGAAGCGCGATTATTATGCTGTCTTGGTTGGCGCAAAAAGGGCTTTGTGCTTTACAAATATTGCAAATAGAGATGATAAAAGTGTTGCAATAGGCAGTTGTTGTTTCACAGTGTTATTGTTTATCAGTAGTGAGGTGTTGTAAACCAAAACTATAAAGCTTTAACAATTTGTTTATAAAAATCCTGAAAACATTGCATTTACTAAAAAAAAAACTCTTTTTTATGTGCTTTTTCATTTACAGGTCCCAAAGAATTCTCATACCGCGGTCGCAATATGTTCCTGAGTTCCCACGTACCAGCATTGGCGAACAAGAAGGTCGATTGGTTGGATGGTCGTAACTTGTGCCGTGAATACTGTATGGACTTGGTCGCTTTGGAGACCCAAGAGAAGAACAATTTGATCTTCCGTGTTATTCAACAAAACGATGTACCCTACATCTGGACTGCTGGTCGTATCTGCGATTTTGCTGGTTGTGAAAACCGTCCCGACTTGGAACCCAAGAACGTGTATGGTTGGTTCTGGTCTGCAACTCGCGAGAAGATTCAAGCCACCAACCGCATTCCACAAGGCTGGGGTTACAATCCATGGTCACAAACTGGACACAAGAAGCGTCCACAGCCCGATAACGCTGAATATGACATCAATCAGACTAAGGAACAGTGTTTGTCGGTGTTGAACAATGTGTACAACGATGGTATTGCATGGCACGATGTTGCTTGCTATCACGAGAAACCTGTTATCTGTGAGGATAACGACGAACTGTTGCGTTATGTTGCGGCTACAAATCCAGGCATCCGTCTTTAAGGTCTTTGAAGGCGTTGTCAACGGGTGACAGTGGCGTAGGCTTGCGTGTATGCACTGTGGTGCTATGTTGTGCAAATTTACTACACAAGTCGCTTAAGCATTGTCTGTCTGTGTGTGTTTTTAATTAATTTTATAATTTTATTTTGATTTTATTTCACAAATCTTTTGTTTTTAATTTTATTTGTAAAGAAAGGTAAAAAAATGCAAATAATAGACTTTAGAATTTATTACTACGTGCATTCTTGTAGTTGAACGGAGAAGATATATATAAACATAAATATATATGTAAACAAAAAAACCACCTGAAATTTTTTTAAAACACTTAATTGCAAAATTTTACCTGTACAATGTCGCCGATATCGTAGATGTCGGTTAAATTTTAGAAAACTTTCTTATCACTTACTGCCAGTTTATTACATAAGCCGTTATTTCTTATTTGTTTTAAAATATTTATTCTACTCTAAATCCATTTTCACAAAAACAATTTTTTCTTATTATCTGCAATGAATGACGAAAATAAAATATTAAAAATTAAAAAAAAAATTAATAAAACAAAAAATGTGTTTTCATTTAAATCTAAAGATTATATATATATGGAGCAGCTATGAAGGAACCACTATACTTTAGTTGTTGATGGTTAACAACTTTGGGCAATCTCTTGTGTGCTTTCTGTTGTTGCTATTGTCGTTATAGCGGCGTAGCTAAACACCGGCCAAGAACTGACAAAATCAGTCTAAGTCAACGAGATCTGTATATACGGGTTCTCACCGGCGGATCCGGGCTGCCGTCTGCCTTTTTCGGCTAAGAAGCGATTAAAGTCAAAGAGTTGTCTTTTCATATGGCGGTCATTTAACGAGTATGTCAAGCTCAAAACTACGAAAATTTAACCTTTATCTTACGAGGTAACTAAAGTTCTTTACCTGCATTATGTGCTCAAACAAAAGTTTTGCTCTCGTTCTTTGAATTATTTGTAGATCTCTGAAGTTGCTTTCATTACATTTGCTTATTGTAGTTTTGCAAATCGATGAACTTCTTAATGGAGATTCCAAATTCAAGCTGCTTGTTTTTTACGGGGCTTGCTTAAGAGCGCTTTTCGTAAGTTTACTTCACTTCACTTCCTCTCTCTCATCTATACTATGCATCAAGAGGCATATTGGTCTTTCGCAAAATCTTTGTCCTTCTTTGAGTGTCTACGTCGTTTGATTTGAGCTCGTTTATTGTCACTTTTTCCACTTGAACGTTCACGCTCCCTACTGACATGTTTGAATCTTCGCGTGTCATTTATTGAACATATGGTGGAGGACCTCGAGCTTCTACTCTTAGCTTCATTGTCGTCGTCTTTATTCTTATCACGACGTTTTTGGTTGTTCCTCTCATCTACAGCATCATGTGATTGCTTTCTTTTATGCTTTTTATGCGATTTTTCCCGTTCATGTTTATGCTTTTTGCTTTTACGTTTGGACTTCTTTTCGGTATAATCAATTTTATACTTTTCTTTTGTTTTTACCACCTTAATATTAGTATCACTACATGACATGCCATTGGTTTTCAGACTTTCTTCCCTTTCTTTGTTACATACTGCTATGTTACTACACCCTATTTTCTTAAAAGCTTCGTTCTCGCTCTTAGTTGTTGATAATTCTACTTCAGGACTCTCAGACCAACGCCAATTGCGTGAATTGTGCTTTACATCATTCGCTGTTACCGTATTCCAGCTGTAAGTATGTATAGGAATGATTAATTATTATTATTTTTTTTTTAACCGAAATAAATACCTTATTAGAGGTGTCAGCGCCGGTGTTTTATCACTGCCTGTTCTATTGGCACCTATTGGTGTATTATATTTATTTCCAGGATTATGAAACAAATGTAAATAATAGCATTTGTTGCCTTTTGGGCATTTACGGGCATGTGATAAACCTTAATTTTTTATGGAGAAAATAGATTATTGAGGTGTTAAGGAAAAGTTAGTTTGATTTGAAATAGATGTACATATAATGCAATAGATAAACGCAGTGCGTGTGCTAACAAGTACAATGCATGTGTAGTGGCACTCTTCATTTGAAGAACTTATTGTTTTAATTTTTCTTTTTTGCAAAAGGATACCATCCCAAAATGGTTTGTTGAACGGCAATTTTTTCACCTACCACAAATTGCGTTTCGCCAGTTTGGTATATTCGCAAATTCCGCATTTATCTGTTTGCCAGCATAAAAACGTCCTTGGAGTTTTATGAAAGCTTTTAAGGCAGATCTGCAAGTTAAATAATTTTTTAGCTTTCATATACTTTTCTATTTACTTTTTTAACTCTATTTACTTCTTTAACTCCTACTAAATGAAAAGCCATGCAGCCCCTTTGCACTCACCTTTCCTCTACATATTCAACGAACACATGTCCACGTAAATAACGCAGTGTATTACGCACAGCACGAAAATTTATTACATATCCAAAAGATTCCAGCTCAGGTAATACATCGCCAAAGAATTCATTATAAGCCTCACATAAATCTTGCTCACTTAACTCCAGAGCACCATCTGCATTCGCATATTCCTTATGTTCAACCTCCATCAACAAAGGATGTGTGAAAAAATGACGCAAAACAATAATGTTAGAAAGTAACGGTCTTCGATGATTGTTAATACACGTTAGACCAAAGCGGCAGCAGCTGGTACGTTCATATAGGACACATAAATTTTGACCCGGACGTGATTCTACTATACGGCGTAGTTCAACAGGTGGTGGTCCTTCTTTATTCAAATATTCTTCCATACATTGTAGCATACGTTCAAATTCTGCAGCAGCAGCTACTTCGTTTTCCTTTCGTACTTTACGGCAGCGCTCTTCTTCCGCTAATTTTGCAACCAGCGCCTTTTCTTGTTCCATTCGTAAAGACATTTCACTAGCTTCTGCGGCGGCACGCTTTTCCTGTTGCAAGCGGAGTTCTCGCTGTACTAGCAATTCACGCCGTAACCAAGCCTCTTCTTCTTCAGCATGTAGACGTTCTGCTTCGCGTAATTGTTGCGCTTCCAATTGTGCTTGTTGTTGCAGGAATTGTTGGTAGGCAGGATTTTTCAATTTATTTGCTTCATCTGTGAAATGTTTGGATATTTTATTAAACTTTTTATTTACTTTATATTGAATTAGGACTTACCTATCGCCAATTCGAGGTCACGCGATTGAGCTGCTTTTGAGCGTCGCCGTTTTCGTTGCTGTTTCTTTAACTCTTTGCGCCATGGTCGTTGGCTAAAAATTAATGACCATAGAAGAAAAATAATTTCTAAATATAGTTCATTTTAGCTTAAATTAATAAATTACTTACCTTTTTCCCGGCATTTTAAATGCTTGTGTGTTATCAGCCAGCTGTTTATTTGACGGCATCAAAATCAGCTGTTTGTCATTTGTTAACAGACGTTCTCTGGTTAACAGAGTAGTACAATTACATTTCCTGTTTTAATAAAGCGAACAGATGGCGCTGTGAATTTACATAAAGAGGTACAATTGGAATAAAAGAAACATAGCGGAAATGAAAATAAGCGGTTATTTGTGAAGTGTCAAAAATTGTACAGGAAATTGAGGCAGAATTTAAAATCAAGTAAAAATGTGTATAACGTGCAGATTCGATAGTGAGAAAAGTGTGCAATGAATACGTGATCGTGGAATGCGCTGAATTAGTGTTATTTATAATAAAATACAAGTAAAATTGCCGGCTACAATTTTGTTTTCGTGTGTGAGTGTCTTACTGCTTTGGATGTAAGGCAACAGATCATTCATATTTGCGCGTCGCTTTATGACAGAAAGTTCTGGTGACTGTCCGAGGGAAATATTCTAACATGATTAATTTCCTTTGTTTCTGGCAAACTTCAAACTAATGGCACTTATATTCGAATGGCGTAGGTGATAGATAGCTCTTCGGAAGAATTGTATTAAATAAAACGCGTCTGTTAACATTTAAAGCAAATATTATATTTACTCAATAACTTATTCTTTCATACATACATTTAAATATGTGTACGCTAAACTAAACCGATGGTACAATAATTGCGGGGCATTTATTTTATTACATTTTTCAAATACAATCTAAAGCACATTATTTATCCTGAGGTTGCACCGGCTACAGATGATGAGCTCGGGCGATCCCAGTGGGAGGGAGTGGATCGAAATTGTATAAGAATGATGAGATAACAAGTGGCGGCGCCGGAAATCTGTGTAATACAGAGAAAGTTTATAATCATCACACTCAAAAACTAATTTCAATTCAAAATCTTAATGCTGCTTACCGTAAAAATCAATGTGCGATCTAATTTGAATAGTCCAGCACCAGTGAATGCCACACGTCGATGTGACAATTGCAGCGACAGACGCAATAGACGATCTTGCACAGCCGAGTCATCAGATATATTTAATATTTTATGCACAATAGCAGCAGTTTTGTTACTTTCCTTAATTGTCTTACTGCTGCCCTCAACGATCAACAAGATTATCACTACATACCACAACATTTGTGTGATGAAGAATGCAAAAAATTCATCCGCTTCGAATTTATCAACACGACTTGGTGTAATTATTGCTTCCAAAATGTAGAAATCATCAAAGAGAATGAATAGAAAAGATATAGCTATAATAGCTAACATTGTGTAGTTAAAATAATCCTCAATGGTATAACAGATGTCACAGAGCAAATTATGTACATTGCTGACTTGTTTCAGTGCTCTTTCGGGATTCTGACGTACCAGCGAAGTGACGCTGTAACGTGGACGTGTTGCACCTGTCGGTTGTATAACGATTGGCGTATGATTATGTGGGTTATTATGATTATGCATGCGTATTACTGAATGCATGGGCGACAGCTCCACAGCATCGTGATCCTCGATGTGTGAATCAAGTATATCCTGGAGTATCTACAATGAAAAGAATCTCAGTCCATAGGCAAAAATCTACACGAACAAGTCTATTGTACCTCATTCATCATTCTAAACCTCGAACGCGCCAAATATGTAGTACATAGAAATTTGAAAACCATAATACTTATATTTAAATGTGGTAATGCGAAGGTTGTGAAAACCACAAATGAAGGCCAAATTTCTGCAGAACGCAATAGCATATAGCTGACCAATAAATAAACGAAATTGAATAGCAATAAGCCAAGTGAAGTAACAAATGAATATAACATTATTTTGCGATAATCAAGTTTCAGACCCAAACGTAAAAATATATCATCCACCACCAAGCAATTCTGTATGATATGAAGTAGCAGATTGCGCTGTAAGTATTATATATAAAGTAAATGCATATACAGAAAAATTTTGAACATTTATTATTTTTATTTTTTATTTATTTCTTACCTTTAATAAAATCGAACTGAAAATCATGACCATCGCAATTATGCCACTTAAAGAGAGTGTTAAATCGCCCAATCGTGTTATGCTGGTCTGAAAGAAGTAGCTTATGATGGAGTCACCTTCGTATAGCGAAAGTATGAAACAAAGCAGATAAAAAATAAAGTGCACAATGCCTGCGATTAAGGAGAAGACAGAAGTGCGTACTTCTTTGTTAACACTCAAACGAAATGGTGCCAAACCAATCAATGATATGTATGCTAAAGGACGGAGTGATTGCAAAATGCTATCCGATTGTGTTAGACGTTTCAAAAACTGCCATGCCATTTTCAGAGCGCACTTTTTTATTATTATTTGTTATCAACACACAATCAACTGCTACTTATATTTGTATCTCCTTCGCTGTATCCTTGTTGCAATGACAAATATACACTTTTAATGGGTCAATGCTAAACGGAAGGGGATAATAATAACTAAATATTTTGTAAACGTCCTGCAGCGACGCGCACTTGTTGATTACTGTCGCAAAATTTAGTTTTGTAACTAAAATACTGTGAGCTCTGCGGAAGTGAGTCCACTGCTGCTATTGAGGATATATATATTTATAGTATACAAATATACCACAACATTGAGGCGTCATTGATGAACTATCACTGTGGTGGGTGGTATGAAGTAGGTGTGTTAACGCACGCTCTTTTTTTCCTTGTGACTTTCAATTCAGCAAACATGTTTATGGATGGTTAAGTAAAACATTTGCAGAGAGAGAGAAAGGACTAATATACCTGTGCCATTTCGATTAAAGGACATTGCCTTCAATTGGAGTGAATAATGGCTCGTTATGAGTTGTAATAAGCTAAAACAATTGACATCAACAAATCAAATGAATGTATATGAGAATGTCAAGTGATACAAAGCAGAAGGCATGGAAAAAATGGAAAAGAGCGCTTTTATGATTAAATGCAACGAGGTTCCATATGTACATATCTATCCACGTGAATAAGCAAGAGCAAGGTGGTAAGTCAAGAACTTTATTTTTGCTTATTCAAAAAATTTGATTAAATTTTAAACTTTAAATAGACAGATCTGCATTATTAGTGAATAGTTGGCAGATTTTATTTGTAAAATATTATTTAAAAATGTTTATAGGGATTTTTTAGTGCGTGTAGGGATAAAAAAAATCAGAAGTGGAATATGCTTTGCTGCCGTTTTATAGAGATGATAAGGTTTGCCCCATTGCTATCTTCCTTTTATACAGTGCAAGTGGGCTGATAGAGCAGTTCTACTGAACTATTACCTTTTATCTTTATCTGAAATGCTTTTCAGAAAACTTGCTGCACAAAAAGGTTTGACGTTTTTTTTTAAGATTTTAAGCAATTAAAGTTAGGCACTAAAAGTTTTCATATTTATTATATCCAGATATTCAAAAATACATTCATTTCAATAAAAATAACGTTAAGCTGATAAAAAATTATTAATTGGCCTGCGAATTTTTGCATTTCAATCAATAACATATAAACATAAACTTATGAGAATATCTGCTTTGGTACCATCATACATTTAAAACTAGTTACACTTCTATGTATTGATTATATCTATGTTTTCTGCATAGATAAATTATAAAATAAGAAGCTCTTACATATTGAACCATCGCCTTACATATATAATATGATAGTAAAATATGTTTATTTTATGCCGGCTGTTGAACTGGCATTCAAATGTGTGTGAGCTGCAGCATGGTCATCTGAAGTATTAGAAGATGTAAATTGTAAAAGTATAATTAAGTAGGTAGTGAGAGCACCACTAATCTGTGAATATAGTAGGAAACGTACAAATTTATATAGAAACCTTTTGTAAGTAAGCTCGTGTAGAGTTAGGTTATGTTGAATTTGACTGTTATATTTTAGCTTACCGTAAAATAAAGTGTGCGATCTATATTGAATAAACCAGCAGCGGTGAAATTTATTTTCAAGTGCAACAACTGCATGGAAAATTGTTGCAGTTTTTCCTTCACTTCAGCGTTCTTGGCTTTGTTAAGTAGCGTGTGGACAATACCGCCGGTTTTTTCACTCTGAAAGCAATAAAATTTAAAAAAAGTAAACTTTAAACAATATTTACCACAATTACCCACCTTCTTGATAGCACGATTACTGCCCTCCACAATTGATATGATCGCAATGAGATATAAAACCATTTGACACGAAAAGAATGTAACGAATTCGCCAGTTTTAAATTTACTCTCTCGCTTCGATTTACCCAACAAAGTCTCCAGCACGTAGTAGGCATCGAAGACGATTATTAAGAATGCAATGGAAATTATAGTTAAAAGTTGATAAGTAAAATATTTATTTGCTGTTGATGCAGCATCACAAATCATGTGATGTATTTCCATGGATTCCTGTATAATCTCACAAGGATCCTTCGTAACTATAGTGTACATGGAGAAGCTATCCAAGCATTGCAGTGAGCGTTGTTTTGGTAATGGTTTGACAATACTGTTGTCCCATTGATGTGCCAGATTCTTTAAAACCTGTAAGAGGGAGATTGAGAGAGGTAAAGAGATAATGTTAACGATTATTTGTGTGCTTAAGAACTAGATTTTAACTTATAATAACTGCCATATTTTGAAAAGTTAGGTTAGGTTAAACTGGCTGATACAGCGTGTCTCACTTAGATGATATTAGATCGTAGTTTTGCTGCCCACACTACATGCCACCAAGCTGCACTGCTTTATCTTTTATTGAGTCTCTAATGTGAAGAACAAGAGCGTTTCTTTCTCAAATTAAAGTTGTAGTTTTAATCCCTTATTTAATGCCGATAGAAGGTCCTGCAGCCTTTCTCCTTTAAATGAATATCTTCCTAAGCCAGCTGTAGCTTTGCTCACATTTTTATAGAAAACATTTCGATTGGAAAATACTGCAATTGGCAAGTCTTAAATGATTTTCTTATCTCCAGTCGAGCGTAGTAAACTAAAAACCTTCGGGCTTCGTTCATTTTTAAACCATATCTAAAATATCTGAGCTTTTTCCGCCAACCTCAGACCTTTGATCCAGCCATTCATCCCAATTATAGCTGACAATTATACCTGACTATTTGTACGCTTGGGCGTATCGTTATACTGTGTCACAAATGCACTATGTATGTACACCCGTATAGTGCGGCTGCTGCCTTCATCACGTACACTACATTGAATTTTCACGCCAAATTGCTTTCCAGCACAGTTCCCAGGTACTTAGAGCTAGGACCTGTTAAGTGGTCTCTCCCAGCTTTGGTTTAATCCAAACAGGAATTTTGTCCATTCCTGTGAATTTCAAAGTTGTCAAATACTTAAAACACAGGCTGACTGACGTCTAATCCCCATCGCACTTGCATCTTCCTGCAACTTAGCAAGAAATATAACTAGTTCCTAAGATTAACTCATATTGAGTTCAACCCAGTCGTTATTGATTTTTAGCAATGTTGTTGAGCGCTCTAAATGTGTCGAAAAAGATGCCCATATCGTATTCCACATTTAGAGAGCCGATCGTACCTTCCACATAACATTGTGTGATGCTGTGCCTTCCAATTTACCCTTTATGTGAGAGCGTATATACCGGCATCCATAGCTGATTTAAAATCGACGAAGATCATAGTTTGTTGACGGTGGACTTTACGATATTAAGGAGACTCCTCCGACAGTGAGCTCTTCTCCATTTAGAACTCACTTAAGATCCAATCGTCGGGCATATTTTGCAAAGCAACTGATGCGTGCACCTTTTCATTACTTCACCTCCATATTTTAATAGCTAGACTCGCAATTTTGAAACCTTCCGTAATTTTCGTATCTGTACCTCAACCTTTTCATACTTTTGCTTCCCTTGTCATTTATACATATATCTCCCACCCCGCACAATGGTCGATCGCATTTTCTTATTACTCTTAGTATAAAACTACAATTGTATGCCGTTTTGCCTATATATTCCCCTTGCAATTCTCAACTAGTTTATGTTCTCATCGCCCACCCGCAATACTCAACTGCATTCAAAGCACGATAGCACTGCGTCAATTTGTATATGAAACCATTAAAAACCACGACTATGCCACATACGAGTAAATGTGGTGCATAGAATGACACGGCAGCCGGTAGAGAGACATATACTTTATTTCGCGCCAATATGCCGAGCATACTCAATTGAAAATAACAAATAGTCAAGGCAAATAAACCGAAACCAAATCGATTTGTTCGCCATGCAATAAATTTTTGTTTAAACGACACGCCCACATTGTAAAATCGCTCATCCGCCCTGTACATACGCTGCATAAGCGTACAAAGTTGTCTGCGTTGGAAAAAGCAAAAAGCTATCGCGATCAAATTACCCAAAATGCCATTGAATTTTTGCAACGAATCGGTAAAATGTGATACATTGGTAATGAAAAAGTAATCGATAACAGTATGATTATGCAGAATGCTGTACATTAAATTGCAGTGCAAGAAAATACAACGCGTGGCCATATTAAAATAACCGAACCACGAGGTGTGCAATGAGTGACGCTGTGTTTTCGGAGATACGCTGATATGATATGGCGTTAGGCCGTAAAAATGTGCTAATAAGAAGAGAATACGTAAACTGGCGTAAATATTGCGTGGATGTTTTAGATCGCGTTGCAAATATCGCCAACCGATTGACAAACGTCGAAACATTTTTTGAAATGAGTGTAATTATATGCAAGCGCATTCGCGTCGCGGTGCTAACTGAAGAAATTAATGTGACAATAGGACGCGTGTGGTAAAGGATATGACATTGAGACTTGGTAACTTGTTTACAAATTCAATAGCTGCAGATAAGAATGCTGATAAGTGGTAATTAGAAAATTAAGAAATGAATGAGTAGTGGTAAGTGCGTGGATCTAGTGCGACCGTCCGCTCTATGAAGATATAACAGAACGAACAGAACAGAAAAAAATGTTAGGGCGGTTCAGGTAGCGATATGACTGAATGGGTATCCTGGACAGATCAATATCTACAATTATAAAAAATAAAAACTGTTTGGTCCTTTCAGGGGCGGCTTAGAAAAGAGTGCTGATCCATTTCTACATTAGAAGTGAAAACATTAGGAAGCAGTATGGAAGCACTGTTCGCCCTGCGCGATACATGATTATCTGAGGCTTTGAAAGGTTCTTTGTGACTCTAGAAGAAGGAGTAGTGGGGTGTTAAAAGTATGATGTAGGTTAAGAGCTGAATACCCTTGGTGTCTACAATTGGCAGCGGATAGGAAAGAGTGACTTTATATTTGAAGAACAAAGCAAACAACTAACAAAATTTTTCTCTCCTTCAGCTTGATGTCAGCAGTGGTTGCACTATGCAAGAAAATAATCAGAAGACTGGTTAAAAAGAAAAGTCCATCGCGTCTGATATACATAGTAAACAGGTATTTTGTACTCGTTCTAGAGTTTTAATATGGAACTTCATTTTTGGTGTCGTATACCATTTTAGCGATTATTATTACGACCCTCGCAATCTCCATTGTGCAGCAATTCGGTGCGCTTGATTGACCCTGCTGTAAATATGTTTCCTACAGCTAATTATTTCGGCAAATATTACTCCGAGATATTTGACCGAATTGGAAGGTTCTATGATGTTGTGTTATCACTTTAGGATTGCGGGTTAAATTGATGTGTTATTGTTTTTCTCGCGAAGAGATAGACCCGTAAATTTTCTGGGATTACATTGAGTCCTTATATCTCAGCCCACGGTCTGCTTCCCGTGACAGCCAGTTTGTCTGAAGATAGGACGAGTAAGTTAAAGCTCAGCAAATTTTTTTTTTTAGTATTTTCTGACAACCGTTGTAGGAACACAGTGAAAGTACACTAACGATATTAACCTCATACACATACAAAGAGTTACTAATAATCATCGATGCGGTCTCCATTTATTGATAATCAATTATTGCTTTTGAATTGTTTTGTGTTCATTGTAAGCAGCGAGGCTACGAAAGCTAAGTTAATTAGCTAATTTTGCAGTACATTTCCACAGTACACGGTGGGCTATAAAAAATCGTTATCGTAAATCAAAGCAAATGTTGTCAGCAGTCACAGTCCCTTTTCTGGCACACAGTCTCACCTTATTAATCAAATCGAAATGTTGCTGCAAGCGAAAGAGGAACGTCGAGAATAACACCACGACGCTCAGCAAGAAGACGTGTGGCATGAAAAATGTGATCATCGCTTGAAATGTCGGCCAAATATCATTGTGGAAGAGCATCCAGAAGCAGCTGGACATGTATGAAGCATTCAAAGTGATCACGAGGAATAGTTTTAAATGTGTCAGCTTCATTATGTAACGATAATTGAAAATCACACCGATGTTGAGAAACCGTTTATCCACGTATGCGACGGTATCACATAACGAAACGATAACGCGGCATTCACACGAACTTATGCCGAATAACGTCAGCATGCCCAATAGGCCTATGAATTTCTGCAATGTATCGCCGATCTGTGAGATTTCCGATTTGAAGAAGAAGCCCACAATCGACGCCTGATCGGCGAGTGAATGTATGAAGCAGTACATAAAGAAGATCACCTGCAGCAGCGTATTGAGATAGCCCAATTGGCTGATGCGCAGCGTACGCAACTGCTCGCTCGTCGGTTCATTATGCAAGCGGAACGGTGTTAGGCCGAGTAAGAAATTGAACCAAATTACTGTTTGCACTGCGCCATAGGCGTCACTCGGACTGAAGAGCGCTTTCAAGAAACTCATTGCGCGTGATCGAATTGCGGATTTTGTATAGAATTTGTTCGAACTGAGCTGGCTCTACGTGCAATCTGCGGTATTTATACAGGAGAAAGGACATCTCCGTGCGCGACTGAATGACATGTGAGTGTTTTAAAATTTATAGAGTCATGATTGACTGGTTTTTTATATGTATATGCTGATTGATTAAGGAATTCTTGACGGATGGATTTTTCAAAGGAAATTTTGAAGCGAATTGACATGACACGCTATGATAAAACAAAAAATAGAAATGTTAACGACCAAACACCTCCGCTAATTTAGGGTGTGCGCCTTGTTTTTTTTCACAACAACCGAAGAGATATTAGATTATTTTTCTTCTGCTATACTATTTGATGCGAATTGAAAATACCAAGTACCAAGTCGTTCTTCACTTGCTTTTTCCAACGGGGTGGCCGTTTTCCTCTGCTTCCACCTGGAGGTTCTGCCACTGTTATTTTCTTCAGCAATAGCCGATGGAAGGCACATGATAAGGAGTCACTTTGTCTGAAACCTCCCTTATTTAAAGTCTAACTACAGAGAAGCGGCTTCCACCTAAAGGACATATGTACACCTGATATGCTTGATTCGTTAATTGGGGAAGTACCACTGCCTAGTTGGTTAGGAAATGCAAAGGACGAATCAAGTTTGGAATAGAGTAGCCGCGTGTATTACAGCGGCTATGTAAGTGGGCGAAAATTTGGCGTGGGTCCCCCCGGTGGTCTTCTCTCTGGGTTCACTTAAGAAGAGATCGAAATAGTGCCCAAAAGCCCATTATTGAGAAAATAATAACAGTAAGAAACCTCCATAGCACACGTTGACGTAGTAAATGCACATGAATATAATTAAATTCAACTTCTTTCTTCTTACTTACTACCATAAAAATATGTAATTAATAGTGTAGCATTTCAATAACAATAATGCCTGTTTTTTACTCATTTTTTTTTTTTCATTGTGAATTCATACTAACAGTAAACACACTATGTACATAAATATCCCATTATTGTTGTTATGAGTTAGTTATATCTCTATTCTGCGCTCCTTCATTAATGTAATTGATCCTTTGTAATTTAATTGCATATTTTGTACTTTCATGTTATGAGTGCATCTAATTAACCACTGCGTTAGCTGAAACAACGTTATGTTCAAATAAAACGTTGTTTAGTCAATTAATTTATAATTTAAAAAAACTTGATCGAGTGACTGCACTAAAATAAAGGCGAGTCTTTAGGTTATTATTTAATATTATTTAAATAAAATGAAATTACTTAATTTAAAATAAAACAAAATACAATAAAATAAAATGAAATAAAATAAAATAAAATAAAATAAAATAAAATAAAATAAAATAAAATAAAATAAAATAAAATAAAATAAAATAAAATAAAATAAAATAAAATAAAATAAAATTAAAAATATAAAAGAAAATAAAATAATGCTTAAAATATAAAAGAAAATAAAATATGACAAAACAAAATAATTTGAAATAAACTAATATATTAATTAAATAATATAAAATAAAACAAAATTAGGTTAAATTAATTAGAGAAATAATATTAAATAAAGTGTAATCAAATAAAATTAAATTAAATAAATTAAAGCAAAACAAAATATTATAAAACAGTTAAAATTTATCCAACATAAAAATTTAAGTAAGTAAATGATCAAGAAAAAAAAATAAAATTACGTAACATTAAATTAAATAAAATAAAACAATGTTATATAAAATAAATAAAAAATAAAAAATAAATAAATAAGATAAAACAAAATAATATAAAACAAACTAAATAAAATTAAATAAAAATAAAACTAAACTAAAATGAAAAAAAAAAAATGAATTACACAAAAAAGAAAAAAATAAAAGAATGTGGGGGATTACAATTTTTTGTAGGCGTTTATCACTCTTACTCCCTTATAAACTCGAACAAATACTATTTATAGCCACAGTGCTTTACATAAATGATGACCAATCCGCAAACTCTGCTATTAATAATTTTAGGAAATGTACGCATAAGCGCATTAATTTATTTTCACGTGCAACCACGATAGTCATGGCAAGCACTTTAGTGCTTTATAATCACACCTTTGGGTTTAACTAATTGCCTATAAAAGCTAGTTAAAAGTTTTATTAGTTACTTAGGATTTTTACGTTGTTTTTCAAAAACCAATTCAGCCTAAAAATACGTAAAAATTTCCAAAAAGTTTATATACTTTTTGAAACTTTCAAAATTTTTGCAATTTTTGTTTTCTGTTATTTATTAGAGACTTCACATGAATTATCCTTAATGGAACCAATATTATATTGGAATGAATGAACATTAATCTCTTGTCGAACGAGACAAACGTAAGGATATATTCTGTAGACTATGCTATTTATGATTGATTACGGTCACGTTTTCGCATAAAAATAAATATTTTAATTCGACTAATCGGCAGCAGTAGATGATACGTGCTGTCTTATGGAATGTCAAGGGTCTGAATCTTTGACTGAAGAATACACAAACAAATTGTTTTTTTTTTTTTAATAAAAAAGCTCCTTTTAAAAGTCCATCACGTCCTTACGAAAGCTGCTTTTATCAAAATGCATAACAAAGGTCACAGCGATTAAGCAGCTCATCCCTTGAAGAATTAATTTTACGTCAACATCTTTACCCCGAAAATTTAAATAAATTTATATCTTTTTGCTTATTAAAAGCTTAAACTTATCGTGCTATGGCAAACAAGACATTTTCATTTTTTTATTTTCACTACCACTTCCCACCCCACCTTATTCAACATAACCAAACGCAACTCCAACATCTTCGCAATGCCTTGAAACAACGCAGTTGCGATCGATATAACGGTGTGTTGCAGTGTAAAGACAATATAAAGCGGCGTTGACGGCTCCAGCTCAGCCGATTTCAATAATAAAAAATTTCCACAAGAGTACACTGTGTCCACGGCGAAAACGACCAATAAACTCAGATAGGAATAACGCAACAGTTTACTGTACAGTATCTTAACACCAACACTATGCAACAACACATCCATATCCTGCATAATGCGTAAACTATGCTGCAAGCGATGTTTCGGCAAAATGGCGGTAAAATAAATCACCGTTATGCCAATTAAACCGCTCACAATCTGCATAGTGTCAGCGAAACGTGAGATGCCCGTGTTAAAGAAATAACCCGCAATAGTTTCGAAATTATTCATCAATGTCATAACATAACACCCGACATAAATCGTTATATGCAACAGCGTATTCAAGTAACCGAAAATCGATTCTTTCAGTTTCTTATTGCCTGTGCCATCACTCTTAATAAAGAACGGGGTTAGGCCATGCCAAAAGGTGATTATGAAAATTGGTTGCACGCTCTCGTACAATTGGTGCGCGTGGAAAAACCGCCGCAGCCCGCTAACACGTTGCGGATGTGTAGCGCACACATCCTGGTCCGCCACCGCCGCCGCCGCCGCCGCCTCTATGCTATTCGCATCTTCGTCCGCTCGCCGTGACTGCGACATGTTAACTGGCCAATAGTTGGCGTGTTGTTGTGACTTTTTAACCCGCGGTGCGCATTTCGAAATGTGGGCGCCACTCAACACGCCTGCACTGTGTACTTAAGTGACAGTGTGTTTGTGTTGTGCGTTCAGCTGACCCTCAACTTTGTTCTTGCATTTCTATACTTCTAATGAGTGCTATGTCCTTTTTGTGTGCGTTTATTCTTCTTCTTTTTCTTCCTATAAAACACACATTTCATATGCAAATTAGTGGCGGGAGTTCTTGCAGCATAGGTGCCGGCATTGAAGTGTCGATTACTAACACTAATCCACCTGTTGTTGGCTCTGTTCAGTACTCTTTTTTCTGTTGAAAGTCAACACACCCTCTTGTGTCTAATCGCCACTAAGTAGAATAGTTATTATCGGTGTTCATTAAACAGATTGTCAACGTGGTTGGTTTTAACGGTTTTAACTATACACATGCTTTACGAGGCCGGGATCGAAAGTTCTCGGACTCTTGCAGAGATGAATGTATTAGAGCCCAGCACAACATATTGGAAGAAAAAATTATCTACTCCAATTCTTGGCGGCGGTAATAGCGTAGGCTTTTCGGCATGCAAGACCAACCCCTCCGAATGTATTTCGGAGCTAAAATAAAAGGCTCTTTGTCGATCGAATACGTTTCGGCGGGTACAATAATCATATATGTAATCGTAAGAATATAATATTTCAAAAGGGGCAATGAAGGGAAATATCCAGAAGTGAAAGTTTTAGATAAGTCCGCAGTTTCCATGGAAAGTCCTGGTGAGGTTTTAAGACTCCGCATTCCAGAAACTTTCCAGACCATTTTTTTCGTGCTTTTTATGGTCCGATAATATTATCGTTTTCGACTCTCCCTGACGAGTCTCATATAAACATATTTATCTTAGTTACCCTAAGAAGAGTCGCGCTTGCTTCATTCATTTAGAATCTGGAATTGAGCTGGAAAACTGGTTTGAATGAGATTAAGTTCTTATAAATTAAAAAAATTTAAGGTTGCATGAAGCAGACCTTGAAAAGTTGCAATAATGCGGTAATAGTGTTGGAGAATAAGCTGGCTGAAAAAACTTCGACAATATAAAATTCATTCAAATAATAAGTAGAAACAATTTAAGCTTAAATACTTCTCTTCCACCGTAGCTTCCCAACAGAACACGTTCCTGGTTAGAAAGTGCCGTCTACATAAAAATTTTGCACTGGAGATGGTCTATAACTTTAGTTATCTGATGTTGTTGTGGTAACATTGAGGACCACTTTCGATGTAATCCGAGACTGCACAGATCTAATCAAAGTCCCGTTGTATTCTAATGAAGATTTTAAACCGCTCAAACAAATATCTGGTATCATCCATGTAAAAAGACAGAGGGTCTTTGTATGACCTAAAGAAAGGTACAGATATAGAAATAAAGAAAGATACAAAATAAATTTCTTTCAAGCTACAAGCTCATATCAGAAAAGGCAGTAAGGGCGCGAAGCTTTTATTGCTCGACAATTTGAGTACAAGTCTCGAACAAAAGTTGCGGCTCAAGTGTGTTAAGTAAAAAGGGGCTATAAGAGACGAAAAGTGAGATAGGGAGAAAAAGGGAGTAAGATATAAACAGAGAAGGGGTGAAAAAAATGTATTTAGAATGGGGGGGAGGGAGAGAGAGTGAGAGAGAGAGAGAGAAATAGAGAGAAATAGAGAGAAAGAGAGAGAGAGAGAGAGAGTGAGAGAAATGGGGAGATAGAGAGAGAAATGGAGAGATAGGGAGAGAAATGGAGAGATAGAAAGTGGAATTGAGAGAGAGAGAGAGAGATAGAGAAAGAAAGGGTAAGGAAGATAGAGAGATGAAGACTGATAAAGGAGGATATATAAAGGAGTTTTCAGTAAGAAATTTCCTTCAAGCTATAAGCTCATAACCGAGAAGACAGAATGAGAGCAGAGCATTTATGGCTCGTCATTTAATTTTTTTAGTCACCCTCGTAAGTGTTTGGATATACATATTTTAGTAAATGTGGATGAGTACCCCGGTATTGCGTGTCCTCTAATGTCTTGGGTATTGTGCGTGAAATTTGTATTGACTTGTTGCGCTTTTAATTGCTCATCGTGGCGATATTTATATGCTATTGCTATTGTTATGTTGCAGAATATACCTATACTTGTTTGCTTATTCGGAAGCTCGCCAGTCGATTTGCATATGAGATGTGTGGCTTTTACAATAAATTAATTTTCAACTTCGACACATTTCAATTAACCACTTTTCTTTTGAACATTCTTTCTCCATACTCTAACTATCCTGTAGAGAGAGACTAAAATCATTTGCAAAAAAAAAAAGCTCGTTTAAAAGTAGTAGCGCTGTATCAAAAACCTAAACTAGTACGTAAAAATATTGGTTGAACTATTAACAGTATTTTTTAGCTTGAAATCTTGCCAGTCTGCTGGTTGTTAGAAAATCGTCAAATAATTGAATAAGAATTTTTTACTTCTACTTTCGTAAAGTAGTATTTTTAAATGCCTTTATGGACTAGTATTTAACTAATGTGAAATCGATGAATAATTGAACAATTGATGTATTGTAGGACATCGCAGTGTTTAAAAAGACACCAAAGGACATAAGAAACTGAAGGAAGTTGAACAGATGACTATACAAATGCAAACTAGTACCACTCTGGCTAACAGCTAGTAACTTTTATTATTGTGTAGGCATACATACATACATTTATAGCGGATTATGTAAACTTTGCTGACATTAAGAGTCCCTATTTGCACGGAGCAAACATTAAATAGATAAAAACTGCTGTACATATATTCCTTGCTGTCGCTTCTTAATTGATGAAATATACACTCCTTCCCTCTGAAAAAAGAACTCTTGTTTCCTCTACTCAGGAATTAAAGGTCTTAAATATCTATTACCGCTTTGTTTATGTATAAATGCTATTGATGTCTATGACTTGCTTATATACATAGGTTACGACTCTTGATTGCTCGATTGCCTGCCCCGTCTGTCTGTCTGCCTATCCAGTTGATTGGTAAATATTTAATGAATATTCTATCCAGACAAGCTTTTGTTATTAATATAATAAATATTTTTTTAGTGTTTGTAAATTGTATTTTTATGTCAGCGTGCCACTAGAGTTCATGTTTATGGCAAGTTTATATTAAAGCGGTTATTGGTCTCAATTAAAAACCATTAATATCATTATTATTAATTTTTTTTTGCTGAGGAAACCAAAAATAGCTCAATTCGGCTGAAATCTAAACGGTACCTTAATTAAATTATAAATATTTAATTTTTGATGCTTTTCACTTTTATGTTTTAATAGCAAGCTTAACGGGTTACATAGGTCTTGAAGGCCAAGAAAAAAAAGCTTATTTTCTCTAATGTTTTTACAAGATACAAAATAAAGTATACAATTTATATTGATAACATATAATAGTACAATATGTGGACAATATTTGATGAAAATTTGAATGAAAAATATCATAGTATAAGTTCAGGCGTTGGCAGTGTCGTGAAGTAGACCGTCCACAAGAAAGTGCTTTCGAGGTAGTCATGATAGCTTTTTCAAATTTTAGCTGATATCAAAAATTCAAATTTTTTCTTAAAGAAGGGGAATTTTCCTTGTCCCCGAACAAAAAAAAATTGAATTTTTTGAAGGTTTTTTTTTCACAAAAAGCGTAATTTTTTTGCATAAAATTAGGCCACATATTGGCTTGTAAAATGAGTTCAAAACCAAACTAAATCAAATCCTTCGTTCAGGAATTACAAAAACATGCTTAAAAGAAGTGTGGAAAATTTGTACTCGATCGCTTAAATAGTCGCTGAGAAATTTTGACTACCGATTTCGATAAAGTCGGTGTAAGCAAAACGCGTTTAAAGTGTCGCCATCAGTCAAGCCATGACAAGGACGGCGGGTTATAAAACTCTCTAATTTCTACAGCTTCGTCTCGATCGACTTGAAACTTGGAGAAAATACTCCTGACATTTTGTACTTATATACAAAAAATTATCAAAAAATTAATTTTTTGAAGTTTGAAGACCTATGTAATCCTTTAAGGGATTACATCTAGTTAGGAGCCCTAAAAAAGGAGGTTTTTCAAACATTTTTCTCGAGGAAACTTTTAGTTTTATTATTTTGAGCATTTGTCCACATATTATGGCATCATTGAACAGTAGTTAGGTATTTTTTATTTATAAGAATGAAAGTTTTTGAAGCTGCTACAGTTTATCCACAGTGACCCCTCCCAGAAGAGGCGGTTTGCGGTGACCATTGTATTTCTGAAGTGAATTATCTGAAATGAAAAAATCAAACGGACTTCGTTAAAGTAGTGTATTATCTTGTGCTTAATCAGAGGAATAAGGCCAACAATTTTTTTTTTGAAAAAACGGCGGCTTCTCAAAAAAAAAAAAAATTCATTTTGGTCTTGAATTGCGCATTAAATTTTTTTTTCATCGGCAATGGGAAGCCTCGATAAAGTAATAGACAATATTGTTCAGAACCCCGCGTAAAAACTTGAGAAATTCCGGTCTTGAAAAACATAGTTTAGAAAAAAAAAAAAAAACGGGGCGCCATGATATGCGTGTAACTTCCAAAATAACAGTCGGATCGACTTTAAATTTTCAAAGTGTTTACATGTGTTGGTATATTACAAAAATGAAATTATAAAAAAAAAAAAAGAATTCTCAATTAAATAATCACCATTATATAAAATGAATTATGTTACGTATACGACATGCTGGACTAAGAAAAAATCAACATAACCACGCGGAAAGTGATGGAATCGATTTTTTTATTTTCGAAAAGCATAACAAAGTTATTGAAAGTTAATTTAAATAAAAAATTCAATTAATTTCTATAATTAATGTATTCGAATTTTAATTCGAACAACAAGAAAATTACAGATAATAAATTTAAATGAAAAATTTAGTTAATTTCTATAAATACCTTCAGCCTTCGTCAGAGAATGTCCAAAGTTTTTTTTGAACAAAATTTCTTTTATGGAAAACTAATTTTAATCAAGTATATATTGAATTAAAGCTCCACGTAAAAAACCATCAGCCGTTCAGAGGCGGCTTAGTATAAATTGTAGGTCCCTCCATTTGATGGAAAAATATCAATGCTCAAAACCATGAACTGGAGAAGGAGTTCGACTGAAATTAAGTGGTTACATAGCGCCAATTATATATTTTACTATTTTTTTTGGGTAGCTTCATAATTCCATTAGTATAAAGCTACTGTGGTTTATCGCCGTAGAAAGGATTTTTAGCGGCTCTTGAGTCGCCCAACTTTCAATAAAGAAACTTGTGGAGATACCGAAATAAATGGTAGTCGGTTGGTGTAAGGCACGGGCTATATTGTAGGTGCACCAAAACTTCCGAGCCAATTTGCTTTACTTTTTGCGTGGTCATCTAAGATTACTGTGCTCCGACGTTGTCACGATGACACTCAACACTTTTTCCATTCATCCATGGGATCAATGAAAGCTTTTTAGAAGAGCTTGTTTTAAGCTTTCTGGTTAATTTCTGACGGGGGAGCTTACAATAATCGTTCCCCTCCCAATCCCAGTGTACACTCAGCATCAACTTGTTGATAACCAAATATTCAGACATTGAAGTCTTTGTGAAAAGTCACTGGCTTTTGGCTATGATTTTCTTATTTTATATCTTCGGAATGCTAGGGTTCGAGTCCTAGTCTGACTAGCATTCAAAAACTGTAGAACATTTTTTTAAATAAAAAATTATCATAAGTTAAATTTCTTTATGTAGTTGCCCCCCTGAAGGGAATGTCAACCGCTCTTAGTGTATTATTGTCATGAAATAAAAGCTCCTCATAAAAAATCAAACCAACAGCCGGAAGCAGCGACCAATGAAAATGTTGAGAATCTGAAGAATATTGTCTTGGAAAGTCATTGAACTGCTATCAGACAATTTTCTAAAGATTCGGTTGGCTCATTTGATGAATTTTTTGGAAAAATTCGGAAATGAAGCCTCAGAAGAGCATAAAATCTGATGGATTTAGCTGAGTGATGCAGTCATTATTACACGGTTGCGAAATCGAAATCAATGCTCCATCGTACTTTGAGATTAGGCGCTGTCTAAGTGTGGACAAAAAAGGTATCTTCACAATACAATGCTCGTATGCAAACACAAGGAAGTTTCTATGTCGGAAAGCTGCAATCTCAATAATTTACTACTAGACTTTAACTCCTTCTCTCTGCGAGCCCCAAAGGAACCGTGGGATGGTATTTCAAGCCCCGTACATACATCTCCAAACGAAACTATTGGCACGATGATGAGGACGGGATGGCACAGATACCGATAATTGAGAGGGAAGCAAAACATTTATGTGCAGGCAAAAAAGAAAGCGCCTGAAAGGCCTGAATATGCAAAGCTTGAAAAACTAGTCGACAAGGGTATTGCTTGAAAAGATGCGACGACTTATGAAAGGTTTCCGAGGGCCGAAGCAAACTCTTTTAACACCCAGATCAGATAGGTGATCTAGCGACTGGTACCCACATTACACTGAATTCATTCAGGGAACATTTCTCCAGCACACTAAAGGGCAGTGGAAATGGAACACCGAAAGATGGCCAATGAATTCGACTCCCCAATTCATGACATAGAGAGAATGCGAATTTAGACCTGGTGAGTCAACTATTGAGCAAATATTCACCATGCGGCATGTTTGGAGAAGGCCCGTGAAAAGAGGATGGGCACATCATCTCATAATACATTTTAAAGCAGCTTTCGACGGCATGAAAAGGAGCTGCTCCTACTCTACTGTGACCGAACTTGGTATCCCTGGAAAATTTATACGACGTTAAGCAACAACAAAAGTTCCCTCAGGATCGGGAAGGTAATTCTTCTATAAGAGTGTCCACCTGCTAACGTACTCCGATAGTATTGTCATCATTTAACTCAACTCAATAACAGCGCCGAGAGTTCTGCTTTCTCCTGAAATTAAGCGAAGCGTATGGGCCTGGTAGTGAACGAGAACAGGATGAAATATCTGCTATCATCAAATAAACAGATATCTTATTTTTTTTGTTTGTATACGACTACACCGTGATGGTCTCAGATTGGTTATTTTTTAGTAGGCGGTTGTAGTTGGATTGGATTAGGTCCATTTGAGGTTTCTCTAAAATAATTTTTGTGAGCAAGAATATTCTTTTCTTTAACGTCTTGACCTTTTTTTCTACAAATGGAGGGTAGTGCAGTTTATTCTAACGGCTGATCGAAGAGCTTCTTAACTCAGAGTCAGAAATACACTCGTAGGGTTTGAAATACTCTGCAGAGAGGAGTACAGACTGATCGGATGAATGCAGTTCTGGCTCCTCCACTTTAACTTCTACATTGCTAAGCACTGACTTGATGCTACAAAACCAGTCTTCCAAAGAAGTCCAAAAATCAAAACATATTTACCCACAGCTCATACCTTATTGAGTATCACCAAACGCCGCTCGAAGCCGCGCGCTATAAAGCAGAACAAGCAAACTGCCACCAACAACACCGAATGCTGCAACAAAAACGCCACACACACACATATCGACGGCCGCACATGCACCGAACGCAACAGCAAATAAACACCCGCACAATAGATCACAATTATCAGTGTCTTCGAAATAGTCAACAACAATGCGTAACGGTAAATACGCGAATATTTCACACGGACACCAATATTTGCATAATTCAAATCCAACATGTTGAAAACTTCAATGATGCGACGCATTTTAGAGCGTTGCGTCAACGCCGTCGCATAGATGACAAAGCCGGTGACAATGCCGTTACAAATCTGCAGCGTGTCACCCACAATCGAGATGTTCGTGCGAAAGAAATAACCAACAACAGATTCGGCACTCAACAACGAGTTGAGAAAACAAATTCCATAGAGGATGACATAAGCGGCAGTGTTGCAGTAACCAAAGCAGGAAGCGCGTATCTCGCTCGTGCCGTTGCGACGCCTCACAATGCGAAACGGCGTGAGGCCATAGATGTAGGTGAAGAGGAAGAGCGGTTGGAGTGTGGCGAAAACTTCTTTTGAAATAAAGTAACGTCGCATGCGCTGTACGCGGTAAGACATTTCCTGTGCTGCCGGCGGCGGCTGGAGTGCGGAGATGGTGGTGAGTTGGAGTTTCGTGCGACTGTTGATGCTGTTCATTTTATATATATATGTATATATTTTTAATTTATTTTTATTTAAATTGAGTAAATTTTTCTAACAATTTTTATGTAAAGTGCTTCGCTTTCGCTCGATACTTTTCGAAATCGATGATTTCCAACGCGCGTCTCCCGCACAACTGTTCGCTTGACTTATTTGTCAGCCTGTTGCCTGGTGTATGCCAGCGAGGACATGCCAATAATCGTAAATAACATAAATAACTACGGTTTTTTCTGTTTTCCTCCTAAGGCAATTCATTATCGGTCGCCATGTGGCATATTTGTTTAGTAACCGCAGCTGGCGTGCTAGAGTTATTGCTCAAAAGGGATTGTGATTGAGTTGCTGGTGCATGTATGTATGTACATATGTACAATATTTGCTGGGGCTTAGTATGATATTTAAGAATTGTTCATTTTAATTTCCTAGAGAACAAATTACAAGAGATGACACACTCCCTTAGTAGACAAGGTACAAAGCTTTATAATGGAATATACTGTAGTGTTCAATTAAATTTCTTTTTACAGCTACGGAGTACTGAGCGAGGAGATAGCGATTTCGTGAATAGTATTCCCTATATTGCGTTCTTATCCTCTTGAAGGGCGTGGGCACCGCTCACCAGAATATAGACGGGTCAACAAAGCAAAATTTTCATTACTTTTCTTTACAAATCGAGACACCGAGTGAAGCCAGTTCGGTCTCTACTTGATATTTTCAACACTTTACGCTTTTTCTGCTTTCACCGAAGAGCACTGTTTCAAAGCCAGCTTAGTTGTAGGTTGTAAATTCCCTAAACTGTCTCAATTTCGCCTTTCATCTTTTACAGCTTATCGCACCATTGTCTGTGGTCTTAGCCGTCATTAGGACGCAAATATCTATTAACCTTTCGCGAAATCTTTATTTAAAAAATTTCTAGTGGCAACCCTTCGGATTTTATCGTCCCACCATATAGCAGGACAGGAATGTTGAGCGAATTACAGAATTCTTTGTCTTTGTTCCTCGAGAGAGTTCCTTGTTCTTCAATTAACAGATCAGACCAAATTAGCAGCAGCTGTTGGCAATAATTGGTGTTAATGCTGGTTCCTAGACAAGACGAGAATACTTAGAATTTCAAAGCTTTTACTGTTAACAGCGACTTGGGAGCCAAAACATGAATGCCCACTTCAAGATAAGAAGTATTTCTTTTTCTCTTGTTCACTATCATCTACGTGAACGTGATAAGTTGGCTGACATGACCTTACATGCGATATCTTGATCACTTATACTCGTATATGCCGTGATTGTGGGTCTTTTACTGAATACGCTTGTCACCTCCACTTTTTGTAATTACAATATGTATGTGCGTGTGTACATACGTACATACATATGTATACCTACAGTGGCTGTTGGTCAAACGCCTACCAACAACCACACACGTCAAAACAAACTACCGCACAAAAAGGAGATGACAAAACTAACAAAGCGACCGGCCAGCTTAGTGAAGACGGCGTGGGTCGCTAGCTACGCACAACAACAAACTACGTGCAAAGAAAAACAAAACCAAGCGAAACTTCCTAACGCGATCAACAAAAATTGCGGGACAACAATTTAACAGCAAATTCGAACTACTCAAAACAATAAAACAAAATATGTTTTTGGGGTGCACCCGAGGTGTGGTCCAACCGAACTGGTTACGAACCCACTCGCACTACTCCCGTGCTGCCGGGGGTAACTTTAACCCGCCTGTATGACTGGGCTCCGGGTGCGGGATGCTAGAAGGATGGGTAAGGACGTAACGAGGGTGGTGACACTGTCGGCACGACAAAACGTACGCAAACAATAAATACACGAAATGATACTTATCAGTTTCTCGGTCGGGTGTGGGTACCCAACTTCGGTGCTCCTCCGGATGATGTCGACGCCAAACTCTGGTTCCGCCACTGGAATATAAAAGAAAACCTATTTTGCACTGGGCTTCGTCTGCCCTTAAACAAGCCCCGACTGGCTTAAAACTTTCACTACTTTTTACAAGGCTTCAACTGCCCTTACACTACCACTTGCCTCGCCTGGCAAAACGCTATTATATTTATAAAAAAAAAATATCACAAATTTTTTGTTTGTTTTTTTTCTTTTTTTTTGTAAATCGCACGCCTGCGTAAAAAGAAGTTCGCACTCTTCTGTAGATTGCAAGAATCTGATCCGGCACGCACTTACGAGCCAGGCCGCAAGCTACGCGTCGGCCTTCAAAATTCTCCTGCGAGTGTGTATTGGTGCCCAATCATTTGGCGCCGCCCCCATTACCCAAAGGGACCGGGTTGTATAGCGCACGCCACCATGGCACACCAAGTACACTGGGATAACTTTTCCCCTCGCTGCAGTAAAGAAAAAGGCGACACCCCTTTTTACGGAATTCCCGCGCAAAGCATACCGTTGCCCTAATATTTGTTAGTGGAGGAACCGTTTTGGGGAACACCTCCTCTTGGAGACTTATACCACTGGGTAGGCACACACCGAATGCAACCGTGCCATCAATCCATGGCTTCAAATAATGCAACTATTTGCCGACAGATATCACTGCCAACGCTTGGAGTGAAAGGGAGCTTAGGCAAAACAAAGGAAATTAACAGACACACATAAAAGAAGTTTTTGTTGCGGCCAGTACGCGACACGCTTATGTTCCGCTTATGTTCCTATAATCACGAATTCCTATAACTAAGTTCTTAAAAAAAGGAAGCTAACGCATCATCTTTGTCAAATCTGCCCCCCTATATTTGAGTACCTTATCCGTTAAACCATAGCCATTGATGTAGGAACTTCATCACAGTCCAACTTCATCACATTGATTGGGCATTCAAGTTCTTCACCGCCAGGTGATCGTTATTCAACAAGTTGGGGAAGTGTCCTCTCCATAAAGTCAGTATACTCTGATCTACGCTCAACATATTAACTCTTTAGATCCTACACGAGTCTCCCACGTCGAACTTTCCGTTGCGTTCATTGAGGGATACTCTTTGCTGTACAGAGGCGAGTACTTGCCTTTGATTTCAACAAGATCCATGTTAGAACATTGAACATACAATAATGTACTAACGGCTATCTGGTGCTACAAACAACAGTACATATATCGGACCACGGCGAAGTCGATCAGTCTCAGCCTATTTGATGATGTTTCGTCATGACGATGAAATTTTCTCACCATCTGCGCCTATACTTACTTTAAGATCTCTACGCCGATTATGAATCTAGGCGGGAACAGCGTTCTAGGCGCTCATAATAGGGTTCTTTGGTCGCATTGCTCCTCTCTTCTATCGAGGTGTGGGCGTTAAGTTTAAGAACTACGCTTCGGTTGTAACGAGATGTTTATCTACCAGGATGCACGACAGAGGCTCTCTCCCACCACAAATCGGTCAAAAAATGTTCGCTCCTGTGTATTTTATTCATTTTTGCTAAGACCCAAATTCTTTCACCTTTAATTTGCTCAACGTTCATCAAGTACAGCAACATCGCAATAAAGGGGATGAGCGTTCCAGGTGTACGTTCTAAAACAGGGTACCTAAAACGTTTATAGTTGTGGTCAACGGGATTTCCCCCTCTCAACCGATGTTTTAATTTCGAAGTTTATCCTTGGAGCAGATTTTCTGCCGAGATTTTGTCCTGCTTGCTCCTCATCCAATTTGTTTCGTGCGACTTGATATTTTTCGAATAAATGGAAGTATCTGAATTTTATTCTAGGTCACCTGCGAACAACTTTTTTATTTCATTCCATGGTGACCGCAATTAGAAATCTTATATATTATATAAAACTTATTTTCTATAATTCTGGATGGTTTTCTGGTCAGAAATCGAAGTTTTGACTACTAGCATCGCAATGCTAGGCCAATTCCCGGGCAGTTTTTTTTACTACTACCAACTTCAGGGAGTCCACTTTCGCACTTAAACTTTATTAGTCGGTTCTTAAATGAGGCGGAACCTGACACTCGTGAGCTGTGGATGCCCTTGTGAGCGACGGTCAGATGCTACACCAAAGTTCAATACCTAAATTTTCCAAAACTATTTTCACAATATGAAATGTTCTTATTTTCAAATCATTATTATTCAATACTCTTATTCACAAAACTCACCTTATTCAACGCCTGCATCCGCACACGCGTCGACAGCATGACAAAGCTGAAGAGCAATATTGTGAAATAAATGCCAATTTGTTGATTCAAACTCATGAAAATGATCGGCAACGGTGGATACACATCCAAGCGTCGCCAACAACACACATATATACCAAACGCGATTGAAAGCACACAAATCATGAAGACAATCTTCGAGAGTATACAATGCAAGACTTTCGTATAATTCCAGCAAATGCCAATGCGTTGGAAACTCTTATCGATTCTCGGAAAATACTCCAAAACCCACAGAAGCCGTCGTCGGCGTACGAAATTCGTTATCAACACCACCACGGCGGTGGCGCCACTCGCCAAAACTATTGACTTCTCGCCACCGTTGGTGATGTCCGTATTGAGAAATTGCCCTATATATGTGGCATTGAAATAAACCACATAAGCACTGCTGTATGCGAAACCGACCAACTGCACTAGAGCGACGATGTGTGACAGCGCTGACATCGTCAAAGACTTCACGCCACTCTTATTCGTACTCACTACATATGATGTTAGGCCGAGTATTTGTGTACAAAAGAATAACGGTTGAATGGATTTGTAATAATTGTCAGCGTCGAGTAGATTCCTGAATGCACGTCGGAGCAACGGCATTTTCACTCTACTAGATTTGATTACAAACTGATAGCGTTGCCTACTTACGGGCGTACGAAGAGCGCACAAAAATGAATTTGTTCAAAAAGCTATTATGGCTGTTGTGTTTACATACAAATCACATGTGACCTGCAGGTGGGAGTAGAGTGTACGGTTTTAACCCTTAATTGATGGTATGTGTTGAAGGTGATGTATGAAATAAGAACCCGAGCGAACCACACCACTTCTTGCCGCAATAGTGCTTCTTACTCGTGTGAC